AAACACACACCCACGTAAACACCTCCACAGACGTGCCTCCACACAGAGCAAAGAAGAGATTCATGTCCATCCTTTGCAATCACACAAACAGTGATTGTACGACTGCTTGCATACATCTGATGCAGTAGTGCTTTATTACCAAATAACCTAATGCTAAACATTTATGCCACACAAGAACAAATCTGTCCACTTAAAATTCCTCATTAATGTTGCTTCATATCTCCAGTTAACTTATATCTCTGATCTCTCCTTCAAAGTGCTTTCATACCGCTTCAAAGTAAAAAATCAGCAGGGAAACATGCAGTATAGATGATTCCCAGATTGAGCACTTGAACTACGCATCCACTTATTTAAAGTAACAACAGGAACAGCGTCTTCTGTCCTATAAGTAATGTGTGCATGTGTGTCCTTGCGTGATTGTTTATTTTCAATCGTTCGTGGGAATATTCGTATAATTGGTTTCATTAATGCTCCAGTGATTATTTGGTTATGCATGTGTTCAATGAACCTGTCAATCATTGCTAAATGCACATTACTACCAAAGGCCATGTTAACAAGACCAGATTGTCTTAAAATTTGAAAGACATTAATGTGTATCAAATTGAATGAATAGTTTTCTTTGAAATGCACTATTCTGGCATATCAACTGTTCACACTATGTGGCTATTTTTGCTACATTACAGAGAATTACAGATAACTGCTTGTCTACCCACATCTTCCAGCACAGCCATGGATTAAGCGTTGGGATGCTGCACGGTATCTGAAGACAAAAAGCAAATTCATGTTCGATGCCACTTCTGTAATTTGCATATAATATGCATGACCCTTTTTGAATGATCAGGCTTCTGTTCCTTTGGTGTATCAGCACCAAATGTTGAACTAAATGCATTTAATATAAAAATAAATTTTTATGATTCCAAAACTAAATAAAATAAATTAAAATGGCCATTGAAAATGTCCAATTAATTCATTTTTTGATACTTGGTATGTAAGAAACCTGTGAAAGCCTGTTTCCGACACAAGATAAAAAGAGTATCACAAATTGTACTTTTTTCTTGCAATATTTAGTTTATATCTTAGAATTTTCTTGCAATTATGAGATTTTTAATTCTTAATTTTCTGAAAGAAATTTCAAAACTGTGAGATATAAACCTATAATTCTGAGAAAAAAAATCTAAATTGTGAAATATATACTCAGAATTGCGACGTGTAACACTGGAATTGTAAAATCGGAATAACAAGAAAAAAATCTGAAAAAAAAGAATTGTGAAACCTTTACAATCAATATAATGATTTTGAAACACTGGCAGCCCTAATGAGAAAATTTTGAAATATATATATATATATATATATATATATATATACAGTGGGGCAAA